AAACCCCCAAAAAAAAAAAAAAAAAAAAAAAAAAAAATACAATTAAATTAACAATATTTCTATCAGCAATAAACTTCCAATTGCCACAGAAGTGTTCTGCACCTGTAGAAAACTATTGATATCAAAGACACTCTGCGAGATGATACAAGTATATTTCTTCACTGCATGTTTCAAATCGTCTCGCCATCTCCTAAATCCACGTTCATCTTTCAAACTATTCTATCTTCACCGTGCTGGAAACCGCACCGGTGAGAGCTCGGTCGGTCTGCGTAATTGTCGAACGTTTCGGTTGGTGTTTAAAACGATTTAGCGATTTTTCGCCGGCGTGCAGTACCCCGGCTCTATATTTAGCCAGGGGAAAAGTGTCATAAAGAGAGACGTGCGAAAGAGAACAGCAGGGGGCGGCCTGCGGTGAAGAGGGGTCTGTGATTTCGTGGCCAGACCGAACGTTGGAAACAGGGCCGAGCTTTCATCCGTGACCTGGGAGAATGTTTACCGCTACTTGATCAAAGGAGTTTCGATCGTCGAACGATCGACGCTGCGATGTAGCGTATCACCCGCCCTCCGCCGCCCCGCGGCCACGGATTTTGTCTCGTTCACACCTCTTCTACGTCATCGTAGCCGTTGAATCTCTGTTGTCGTAACACGTGTCAGGGCCGATAAACCCCAGGCCACGTCGTATCACGCCGGACAAACTCTCTCGTTCACGTTTCGAGAACGAATCGCTTATTCACGACTTTCAACGTTCCCCTCCCCCAGGAGGCTAGTCGAGCAAACACTTTGTCAAATTAGTCGCTCGATTTTTCGAGGCGCGAGCAGTGGCCAATTTCCACGGTAGAAGATGAACGTTTTCCTTGGGAAATTTATTACGAGAGCGTTCTCATTTCGGAGCGTGCGTAACAAGCCGAATCACTGAGAGAAGAGGGAACAGTAAGAAGAATATTTTCGACAATTTCGCGGCTTTTTAAATCTTTTGCGGGCGAGAGGATTGTCAGGTGGACGTGAGAACAATGAAAATTGATGGGAAGTAAATTGATCCTGAAATCGAGGTCATTAATTTTGTAACTGTAGCGTCGATGAAATCTTTATCGCCGTTTTAAAATTTCATCTCATTTCACTGCCGCCCCGCTGTATTTCTAATGGAGGGAACATTTATTTCTACCCACCGATTCCGGTATAAAATTCTAACTGTGCGAAATGAGGCAAAAATGAAGCGGATGCAACTGTTGCTTCACTACGTTTCTAACAGCCGGCGGAAGATTTATAAATTAACCGTAAACTCCAATTATATACAAAATATGGTGAAATAAAGCGGATGCAATTTTTCTAGCTCCCTTTCAAGTTTGTCGTCCTTCCGGAATCTTGCGTTTGATCGTGAAAATATTTCAAACAAAAGAAGATCGTCCAAGCGAACAAAAAAANAAAAAAAAAAAAAAAAAGAAGAAAAGAAAGGAAACGAAAAGAAAGAAAACTGTACGTCAGGGCGAACGTAACGTTTGCATAGTACACGGTTGAAATACTTATCGCGTGGCGATAAAGTCAGACGCAGCGAGAGCCACGAGATAGCTTGACCTAATGGAAGAAGCACCGAGAAGCAGCCACTTTCGAGCCACTAACGTATTATCTTAGCAAAGTTTCGCGCAAACTTTTTCACCTGGCAGCCCCGCCGCCTTCGCTCTCTCTCTGCGTATATTTCCATAATTTACCCGATTCAATTCGAAATCACGAAGCTGCCTCGCGCAGTTATTCCGATTAGACGTACGCGATTTTACGCGAAGATCTGTTGGATACAGTTCGAGCTCGAAGGATATTACGATCGAGGCTATGATTTCTGACACGTGTACGCCGGTAATCGGACTACTTGGAGAGCACTTGTCGAAAGTTTGCCTACCATTGCCGCCTGCGAGATTAGGGTATTAAATCGACCGAGTGTGTGCCTGAATGGATGCCTTGCGGCCTGTTCCGGCACCGAATCGATCAGATCTTCCCGCCAACTTGCCGTTCCTCGTCTGTTTTCGACTCTGTCTGTCCAACTCCTCGCCAACTGTTCCATAATCGCGATAAAATTGCGGTGTTTAACTTGTCATGTGTTTCGAGTTTGGTAACCGCGTATGCGAAGAACTTGCGAGTGAAACAACGTGACGGGTAAACAGCCTGTTACGGCTGAAATATGAGTTAATTGAAGCGTATTTCGAAGCTCTGTTTTGGCGAGACTTTGTCTTTCAATCTACGTTTGGTTACAATTTCGTAATTTCGACGCTGGTCGATGCTTGTGTCGAGGCGTTTTGTCTCGAGCAATGGTCAATCCATTAGGGACCGACGTTGCGCTCGCGAAACATTTTACTCGCAATTCTCCTCGATCAATTAATACTGTCGACAAATAAACAAACGAACAAGTTGTTAAATTCTATTTTTTCTATGTTAGAACCGCGGAAGGAAATTTCGAGAGTTCGTTTTGATATGTTTTTGCACGGATTCTATGTGTAAAAATCACTCGAAAGAAAGGACATTCAGAAAATTGAGTTTGAAAATTAATAAATATACTTGAATTTAGCTAATTCTAGACGTAACAAGACGAGTTATCTTATATGGAAAAGTAAAAAATAGTAAAAAATAAAATAAGTAGAATACTAGAATAAGTAGAGTAAGTAAAAAAATAAAATAAGTAGAAAAGTAAAAAATAGTAAACAATAAAATAAGTAGAATAGTAGAATAAGTAGAATAAGTAAAAAATAAAATAAGTAGAATAAAATTTTTTCAAGAAAACAGACTGAATATGCCTCCGTAATCTCGAGAAATTGATGTTGATTTATGATATTACTATAAATTATTGCTTGGACAGCTAAGATTCCATTTATTGTTGATAACCATCCAGCTTTTATCTTAAACACTTTTGCTACGAGTAAAATAAAATTAAATTGTCGAAATCAGGTGAGATGATCTATGACATTGCGTCGTCTTAATTATCAAAAATTTAGTTGCCAAAGTTTCAGTAACAACCAGAGAGATGATCATCGAAGTTTTGTTTCTCTATGCTCTAAGATTTTTGTAAGACAAATAAATCTATAAACAGAAGTCGATACAAACATGAAGAAACAAACGTTCTACAACTCGTGATTAGTATATAAATATTTCAACAGTGTTCGAATGTGCTGAATTCACTCACAGATTTTTCACACCTTCTAAATCATTCGATCATTCATATTTGACGTAAGAATCGTAAAATTACAATGCAAACGTATTTATCAGTTCGCTGACATTATTATCTACCACTCGATTAATTTTCTATCATGAACTATTACCCTCTGAGGAATCTACGCGCATTCGTAAAAATTGGCAAAGGTGCATACTTATCGAAGCTACTTGCCTTCTCTCCCTTTCTTTATCACGTTCGCGTCGTCTCGTATCGCGGAAACGCGCGGGGAATTTAAATCGATCGGTGCACGCGCCGCTGCGAAATTCCTATCGCTGGCGAAGCTAACTAATTAAATAGCGATTAGAATGCCAGAGAAATTTGCTCGCCGTTCCATAAGTAATTCGTATCTTTCGGCCCCGGGGCTGCAACAATCGCGCAACATTTCCGTCAAAACACACGCCGGCGAAGTAAGCAGTTCTCACGGATGGCGTCGCGTCGAAATAGTTTCGTTCTCGGATAACTCGCGTCTCGTGTTCCTAGCGGGTCTAGGTTTGCGCTCGCGGTTTTCCTCTCCTCTCTTCGTGTGAAAGGTTACAGGGAACGCGGTTAGAGACGAGATCGAGTGCCTCACAGGAACTTTCAGTTGGATTCGAACCCTCTGTATACGGTAATATTCATCTGTACACGATCCTTAGTCTTCCATTTTGCTAAAATCGCGATTTAAACATGCACCACGATTTAACTTGACAATTGATGAGAGAACGATGATACTTTTTTTTTTTTTTTTTTCGTTTTAGTTCAGAGGATCCCTGAAAAACGACTGACAATACGTGTTTTTGGTTTAGAAGATGTTATACTCGAATGTTACAATGTAAATTACAAGTGTTTGGTGTACTACTAACAACTAGAGCATAGAACTTTCATCAGAGATATTCAAGTGAAAAAAAATAGAAATAGAACACACAAGCTTTTATTCGTGTATTTTATAAAAAATGTCATTTAAACCTGTAAAAATACACATCTTTCAGGTTTTGCATCTGTGATGTATCTATAACAAGTTATGAATTAGTCATTTTGACCATTTCGGTAGTTTTAGTGTTTTTCTATACTTTCGAGAATTT